CTAATCAGGAAACACATTGATCAATTAGGTTGCCCCCATACATTGCTAAATTTATAGTCTTCAACCAGACTATACTAGAGTCATAAGGTGATCAACATCTCCTTCTATATAGAGTTTCAATCTCTGATCATTTACTTAGAAAATGTAAATAGTTTCATAGTTACAAATATCAATAGCTATATAAGGATTCACCAATACTATAGTGAATGATTCAAACCACATGAACTTCAATTTCCCTGCAAATGATTTCAATCTTAAGTTATACAAAAGAGATGCTTTAGTAGCTATCTCTTTTAAGCTTTCACAATATCAATAAAGGCTATTTTTTACATTATATAGAGATTTTTTATTCAAAAATAACTTCTATTATATTTTCTTAAGAAAATACATTATTGAGATATTAATCAATTACTTATATTGTGAGACATATAAAGTCAAAATTAGCTATTATGATATTCGAGTTATATAGTTGGTTTATAAAAGTTCTCATAACATTTCAGTTATAATTACTTGCATGTAAGTTTTTTGCAAACAAATAATCAAAAGACTTAAAATCAACTGCTAAATTAGGAATCTACCAAACAATATCCACACCTTTTAGCAAGCTTTAAAGTTTTCATCAATAAATAATCACCAAAGTTTTTATATAAGGTGTCAAATAAAGCTTAGTTCTATTAAATTTAAATAAAATTTATTTTAATCATTATTTTTTTAGAGCATAAAAATTATAGAAATTTGACTTTATATGCACCATAGAATATGAAAATAAAGAGATATGCTCATTGTTTTATTTGTTAGGAAAAAATGTTCTAAAGTTTGCTTCTGACCAAATTATCCATTTTTTTCTATTCACAAACTATTTTTTTTTGTGTTTACTAATTGCTTGCTGAAGTTATAATTTTTAAAAAAAGATTCAAATCAATTTAAATTCTAACCTTAATTTAAAGGTGATTCGAACATGTAGACGGGATTGGCGAAGCTTTAGGCTCACCATGAAGACCCATAGGATCTTTGATGAGTTCAACTGCATGTGAGAGAATAAGATTTATTTATGAGAGTTACTCAAGAAGGCATTGATGAGGCTGATTATGGCGTGGAAAAATGATTGATGGGATGTCAGGATGGTGTGAAATGAGTTTCTACGAAGGGAAAAATTATTAGGTGTGGAGTGCGCACCGTCCACACAAGTACTAAGTACCTAGTACTGGTACCCAGCGGTATCGAGTGCGGGTACCTAGCGCCGAACAATGCTTGTGCGGACGATTATCCCCGTCCGCACTCCGCACCTAATAATCTCTCCTACAAAAGGGTCACTATCTAGTGTGGTGAAACTATCGATCATTGTTTGAGTCTTATACAAACCTGTTCTAGTTTAATTTGAACAAAATTCAAATTAGAATAAGTTTAAACCAATTTTGCTTAGCATGACCCTCAATAAATATTATGCATATATCAATGAGTAGTATTTCGTTCGAAATAAAATTATATATATATATATATATATATATATATATATAACAAAGTAAAATACAACAGCAACATAAGGTCTTTACCCACACTATGTTGGGTTAGCAACATGATTCTTTTTTCTCCATTGTGTCCTATAAAAAGACAAAATCTTATTTAAATTTAATATAAAAAGGTCATTTCTGATACTGTCTAACGTAGTCTCTTTAGGTCTACCTTAATTTTTCTTAATATAGGCCATGTTTAATGCATCTTTTTTCCTAACCATGTCATCAAAAGGCCAACGTTTTATGTTAACAAACCATCTAAGACAACTACTCTTTTACTTTCTTTAATCTTATATGCCATTGGAGTTAGTCCAACCTTTTCATGCTATACTCATTTCACATTATGTCTATAAGTGTAAAATCATTCATCCACTTGAGCATCATCGATCATTTCTGCAACAATTAACTTTATGTTTCCCTTTTAATTATCAATATTCCGTGCCATAAACATTGCATTTCTCAGTTCTCATGAACATTTCGCTAAGTTTGATGGGTACATTTCTATCACAACAAACATGATGCATTCCTCCACTTTAGCCATCCAACTTGAATTGTACTAATAATACCTCAATTTATTTTACCATTGCTTTGAACAATATGCATGAGATATCTAAAACTTATACTTTTTTTATTTACTTTATTATCACAAGTCGCAATTCTCCCCAAGATCTATTACTTCTAAAATTACTCTCCATGCATTCGATTTTTGATCCACTTAAACAAAAACCTTTAGATTCTAAGATTGACCTATATGATTCAAGTTTTCCTTCAACTCCCTCTCTAGTATTATCAAAAAGAAAAATATCATTAACAAAAAGCATACAAGAGAGTATATTCTCTTACAAATGTCTAGTAAGAACATCCATGATTAATGCAATATGGGCCTAAAGTTGATCTTCGATGTAAATCAACTGAAATAGGAAAATACTTGGTCAAACCACATTGTGTTTGAACACAAGTAATAACTCATATATACATATCATTAATACTTGAATATAAGCATTATTATATTTTCTTTTTTCTGGAAGTCTGCAAAGCACTTCTCTTGAAACTTTATCTTATGCTTTCTATAAATCAATAAATATCATATATAGCTCCTTCTTACACTCTATACTTTTTTTATCAAACCTTTCAATAAACATATAACTTCAATAATAGACCTACTTGGTATAAATCAAAACTGATTTTGAAAAACTAATAAACGATGTTGAGTATTAAACTTTCACTTACAATGACTTTACAATTTTTGTATTCAAAATAATCTATTTTTTTATAATAAAACATTCAATCTGAATTTTACTATACTATTCTTATAAGTAACGACCTGACCATAAGCCTGCTTCGCAACTCAATCCTGGCCCGCCCGCGCTAGCTTGCCTGTGCGACTTGCCTTAAGCCCGCCCACCACAGCTTGCTGACCAGCGCTACCCGCCCGTCACGCTATGCCGACTCGCTCGCCCGACACACCTGAATGTGAGGCGCCCTACTATCACGTCACTTGAGCAAATATTATTTAATTGCTATGTTTTTATATTTATATTATAACTTATAGAATATTAAAATTAATACTTATTCATCCGATTATTTTGAAATTAATATTAGTTTTTTTGAAAGATCGAAATGATTAATAAATTTAATTTAAATTCATACTAAATTATTAAATTTGTTAATTTAAATTAACATATAGATAATTATTAAAATTTTTAAATTATTTTAGTTAAACAAAATGAATAATTTAAAATATTTATAATAATCATTTTTCAGAAAATTCAAAATTTCGTCAGAATTTCTAACAGGTTAATTTCCGCTAGAAATTCTGTCGAAAATGAGCGTTTTTCCTGTAGTGTACCAATATGTTCATTTAAATCTAATTCAAGAAAATCTATTTCTTCAAGAGAAATTTTTTTTATAATCATTTGCATTAAAGAATCTATGTACATGTCCATTTTAATTTTGAACACATTCAAATATATTTGATGAGCATAAACACTTATAGTATTAATAATTTCAACATAAAAATATTCTTTAAAACAACAATTTATCTCCAATTATATTAATTTCTACAATATTATATTTCACACTCTTATTTATAATCACACATACTATTTTTAATAAGACTCATACTCGAATATCATAATTTAAATCAGAAAGTATTAAACTCTTTGACTTTTTCTAAAACTCATTTAGTTTTCTAAATATATAGAATATTTATCTTTATTTGAAACATAATATATATTAAATTCTTTAATTTTTTTGCAAGAGAACTTATATTCTAAGTTCCTATCATAATTTAAGTTTTGTGGACTAATTTCTTTGCCCAATTCCGCCTATGATGTGGGAGACTTTGCTAATTTAACACCGCCCTTGGGTGCCAGTGTAGACCCTTGAATAATTAACATTGTTGCGGGCTTGAATATACACGGCTGTAGAGTTTACAAATTCACGTTCAAGCGTTGCATGAATATTCAACACACAAACAGAAAAGAAAATGAACACCAGAATTTTTACGTGGAAAACCCAGAAGAGGGAAAAAACCACGGGGCCACGCCCAGCTGAAAAGTTCATATAGTGTTTTTGTAAATTACAAGAAACTGATTCGTCCCACAAATCGGGACGATCAGATTACAACTTGAAGCAAATTTACAAAGTTTTGTAGAATCCCGTCGTTTTCCGAAATTCCGGCAGAGTTCCGACGTATTTAGGCGGCGGTGGTCGAGGAGGAGAGGATTCTCCCTTTCTCCTTTCTCTTTTCTCTTCTTCTTCTTCTCTCTCTTCACTTGAGTTCCCCTTGTGAAGAATGAGGGCTCTATTTAGAGTTTTTTTGGAGTGGCATGACTTGTAAATATGTGTGAGATCAGGGGCGAATTGGGAGTGGTTTGAATGGACGGCCGATATGGAACCATTTGATCGTGCACCGTAAGTTGGACATTTGAAAGCCTTAGTGATGTCAGAATTCGGTGATCTTGGGCTCGTTGGATTCTTTTCGTCGAGCCGTTCGATTCGAGTATAAGATCGTTAAAATCGGAGACCGTTTGGTAACTCAAATTGTGGTTTGAATCTTCCAACAGCGCTTCAGGTCCTTGATTCGGACCCATTTGGACTCGGATGGGGTTGAATTTGGTGTCGTTGGGTTCGTATTTCCGAGACGCTCAGTTTGACTATAAGCTCGTTGAAATCGGGGTTCAGGTGCTCTCAAATTTAATTTTTGAAGTTTCCAACTAGTTTTTTGCCTCGAGATCTGTGCCTGATCAAGATAATTTTGTGGTGATGTATCAAACATAATCCTCAATTTTTTTTATCTACAAGTTGTAAATCTAAAACATAAATACTGAATAAGTAAAATCATAAATATTTTTTTAAATTTAGATTCTTATATGACATATGAAATCAAATAAAAATATAACTATCTGATGATAGTAATTTTTTTTAACGATCGAGGCAAGAAATTAATCAACGGAGATAAATAGCGGATATTTTATTAATTTTCCCCGCGATAGACCTCTGGGCTCTCCTCGCTGTCTTCTCCTAGTTGTACTTCTCGAAACAAAGCCGGCCAACTTCTCCCACGGCCCGCCTCTCGACAAATCCCGGAGCTCCGTGCAGCAAAGCAAAGAGAATATATTTTCTTCTTTATCGCGAACGGCGACAAACCTTCACGATTGTGCAAGGGCCGAGGCAACACCATAGCCAGACGCCGTGCCTGGATTGATTAGAGTGAAGAAGAGGCGATCGATCGGCTTCGATCCGTCCACTTCTGTCCCGCAATTGGCGAGCTGGATGAACAGGACGGCCGGGTCTTAGGTTGGCTGCGGATGCGATACCGATTGGGTGTGAGCGGAGCACCGCTGCGTGATCCGTTGGAACTCTGGTTCCCCTCATCATGTGGTTTTCCTTCTGGCGGCCAAGAAACCGGTTCTCCGTCGACGAGCTCCGGTTCGTTAATCTGTTTCCGCCATCTATATTTTCTGCTAGGGCTCTTCATGGCAGCATCATGCAATGCGGTTGTCTGCTATTTTTGATTTTTCGGACAGTAAATAGGGTTTTCTTTTGTTTCCGTTGGCATTGATTTTAATATTTGGAGTTCTGCCTGTCGTGTCGCTAGAGAAGTCTGCTGAGATGCCGTCGGGGTCATGAACGAATTGAATTAGCACCACTTGCACGCAGAAGTTGCTGTGTAAAAGTTTTAGAAATCAAAATAGGTAGACCTTGCAAGCACATATGATGCTGGCACTCGCAAGTTCTTTGTGAAGGGGAATGCTCCAAGATTGAGCACTTGTGCTCTAACTGCAGAATGTTGCATTTTGGATGATTTGCGTTGTGTGCTAGGGCATTTTTTACTTAAGGGGAAATCATGTTGGAAAAACATTAGTTCATGTGAAAATCAAAATTATGGGATATCTAGCAGAAGATCCAGCAAATAGAACTTAGAAGCTAGTGCAGTAGAACTCAGTGATGAAATGGTGTGTTTCGTTGTCACATCCTCTGATAAGAAAATGTATACGAGTAGAGCTTCATTAACAATGACCTCATCTGATTTTATGCTAGAATTTCTGGTGTAAGCTAGCTATTTCTAGCCTCCTTCAGCTTGACATTTTAAAAACATCTGCTGTTTTCAGTTTCCTTTCACTCAATTTTCCATCACGGGCATTTCCAAATATGCCCTAATGATTTGCTTTCCTTTCTCACAGACTGCTTTGAACTCGCAAATAAGGAAAATTATGCTTTTGGGTTTTTTTGGCATTTCTTTTTTTTAGTTAGTTTTTTTTTTTTAATTCTCTGGCGCTGTTAGGAGCTGGTTTTGAATAATGGGGACTTTTAGGAAGGTATCAACCCCTACTGAGTAAAATTAATGTCTCCTGTGGGTCATGCTTCGATGATGATCATGTATTGCTCATTCAAATTTCATATTTCATAATATGTTACAGCTTTCTCATCCATCAATAGCTTGTGTGCAAGCTTTCTACATTTCATTATCACTAGATATGTTAAGAAGGAACACAGAAGCAGTTCATAGGTATTTTGAGCAAGATTTTGATGGTTTTACTTTCATATGCAATTATCCATTACTCATCACCTGTCAAAGAATTTATTGAATTGATGTATCAATTTTACTTGTTTATTCTATTATCAGAGATCACCTGATCAATGAGTTTGTATATTAACGTTTCTTTCATATGCATCACTCTTGACCTTTCAAAGAATTTATTGATTTGAATCCAGATATGAAAAGCATTTCTACTTATATGCAATCAAATTTTGTTGATCAGCAATTCTGTGATAGTATAATATACAAATGAAAATCTAACATAAAATCAATAAACTATCTGACAGCTCATGAGTAATGTATATGAAAGAAATACCATCAAAATCTTTGTCAAAATATATATGAACTGCTTCTGTGTTCGTTCTTGTCACTTATAGGGCATAGCATCAAAAAGAGTCACTTAAATATGGAAAGCTTGCATGTAAGCAAGTGGTGCAAGGTTTCTAATATAATATACAGGTAATCTGTGATAATAGAATTTATAGATAAAAGTGGTACATGAAATATATTCACCTATTCGGTACCCACATGTTATTTTCTGAAACGGGAGATGTTCAAATATGATTTATGCAATTATATCCAGCAGATAATTTACTTCATTTTAGTGCTCCATTAATATTGAATATTCTGTAATATCACATGCAGATATCTCACTGAACAACTGCAAAAAGTTCAATATGTTAATGAACTTAATAAGGTAAATACACTTGGTTTCAATTTTGATTGTTTCTTATGCATTGGACTCTTTTCCCTTACTCTTTAAACTTCTATCTTGAAGGATTTTGTTATCGAAGCTTTGAGATCAATTGCAGAACTGATTACTTACGGTGATCAGCATGATCCTTCATTTTTTGAGTGAGCTTTTTGTTGATAGACTAATTATTTGATTACTTACTCATTAATGTCATTGCATGCACCCTAATACTGATAATATTTCCTAGATTCTTCATGGAGAAGCAGATCATGGGAGAATTTGTTAGAATTCTGAAGGTCAGTGAACATCCAAAAGTCGCACTTCAGTTGCTGCAGACCATGAGCATCATGATTCAGAACCTAAGAAGCGAACATGCAATCTGTAAGTACAACACAGGAGTACACTAGAATGAAAACAGACAGGATTTCGCTTTTTGAATTTCAATCGATATTTTTGGCATGTTTTTTGTAGACTATATTTTCAGCAATGAGCACATCAACTTCCTCATAACATATTCCTTTGATTTCCACAATGATGAACTGCTGTCCTACTATATATCCTTCTTAAGGTTAGTAACATGCTATTGATTTGCTGCCTGCTTGAAGTGGCTGTTGATGGAACATACTTTATTTCTCTACCTTATACTTTTTCTTCTCTCATGAAGGGCAATAAGTGTAAAATTAAACAAGAATACGATACCATTGCTCGTGAAAACACAAAATGTATGTATCTCCTTTTTCATTCAGTCGCTAGTACTGATTTTTGCCCATCTTCATTGTTTTTTACAGTCTTCTCAAAATTTAAATGATAGATAATGATGTTTGAAATGTTATTTTGCTAATTCATATTTTCATAGGCTTGGCAAAATGTTTTTGTGCAGATATTGTTATTCTAAATGTTCGCTGTAATAAAAGAAACTGATATTTAGCCTGCATATATTATACCAACTTTATGTAGAGAAGATTTAGCATATCATGTAGTGAAGTACAAATGAGGCATTTTTGAAATACCTAATTAGATGCTTGTATTAATAAATATACGCACACATTGGCATATAGTAGATTATAATCACATACTTTCTGCTATAGAATGATTAGACAAGTAAAAAATTAGATTTATTAGTCAAGATTAAAAAAAAAAACAATATATTATGTTTGTTATTTGGAGTAAGCATCCATGATACTAATTACCATAGTACTATTTCACCTGCATTAGTTATATACGTGAAGGCATCATTAAATGTGAATTTAAAACTCATGAGAATGAGTTGACTTCAATTCCCTTCAACAATCATGTATTAACTATTTTTGCTGCAAGCATTATGAACTCCCTCCATTCATTCCTACTTAGTGCAAAAACATCATTTTATTTCACCCAATTTTTTGTCATATTGTCGTTGGTTTACCACTTCTCCTTCCTAGCCCCTCCTATTTAATTTAATCATTCCTTGTACTTCTTTTGTACATGCCCCAACTATATGAGTCAATTTTTAATAATTAATATTATATCACCAACCATGTTTTACTACAATCATTTATTGCCGTCAAATATCATTTTAGCCGTCCTAGCCGTCCGTTGGATCTTGATGGGGACAAGCGAAGCAACATTGCTTAACCTTAGATGAATGAGAGATCAAAGGTATTGGGAATGAGGGGCTTAAGGACTAACAAGAGCTGTGGTGGACTTGCTGGTTATGGTTCCAAGAATTCCAAGCAGGATTCTACGTCGAAGCCTAGCCCAATTGCTGAGGAGTTTATTGAAGCTCTAGTGAAGGTAGAAAAGAAGGCTGTAGCCGCTCCATATTACACCAAAGAAGTGAATGCCGCTAGTTTTCTTGATCGTTTGTTCCCTCCACCTGTTTTCATCGCTCGAAGTATGAGGAATATTGCTCCTTCCACCGGCCTTCATTGCTGGAATTACGAGGAATACTGGTCCTTATGCTAAGAGATCGAGTGAGAGGGCTCCTCTTGCGTGTGTCTAGAAAGAGTCGAGACTCCCCTCTCTAGCGGGTCTAGGGCTGGGACATGCAAGAGTGCGAGACTTGCACTCCTTCCTTAGATCAGACCAATGGGATCAGAGGCCTTGCGAGTGCATGTACGAGGCTAATCGAACATGTGTCTGTTTGTGTGGAGTCGGACGATTGATTTGCATTGGGCCGAAGGCTAGCTCGACGTGCCGAGTGCTGGGTTGCTTGAGACATTTTTTTTATGCTGTCTCTGAAGCTTGCTGCAAACTTAAAAACATATTTTTTTTTCTTTCTACTGCTGTTCATTCATTGTCGGCTTTCCTTTGAGAACCGAGATGGAGATAGACCTAAAGGATAATTAATCCACTTTCCTTGTTGTTTAACCACCAGCATTTATTGCCATTTCCGGTATCTTGAGGGCTATTGTTCACGCATACTTCATTGCTGCTCTTCACCTTGCATGCTTAATTGATATGCATTCATCGTTATCATTTATCGCCGAAATGTCTGAAGTTAATTCCTCCCAAAGTTTTGACCAAATGGAGGAATCTATTGTGCACTAAAGGACTTGATAACTCTACCTTGTTGGGTATGATTACCAAGTTGAGTATAACAAATCTATTTTCCCTAGCTTGAGGGGGAGTGTCAAATACCGCCCCAGTAATCCTAGCTATCCCTTGACTCTAGATCCTATGACCAGGATGGGGATCCATGGGAGGCTCACCTGGATCATGCCGATCTCCTTACATATTTGGGTGGCTAATTTCGGAAGGATTATATTAGGGCAATTATGCATGTTTAGTAGTTATTTATTTATTTATTAAGATATCTTGTGTAGATCTATAAATAGGGATAATTTTGTGTAATAAAATTAAGCATTTTTCTCTCTCTCCAATTCTCTAAATTTAACAATAGCTTTACCTTTTATAGTTTTTTCTCTTTGCAATTTCTCATTTCTGCTTGTTTGAATGTGGGTATCAACGGCTTCTTTGTTGCTTAACTTGAAGATATATGTAACATATCTATGGGAATTACATATTTATAATTTCTACATCTAAGTATATGTGAAATTCTCATATTATATTATGCTCCTAGGGTACATTTTCATATTGACTACTGAGGTTTAATTGAAGTTATTCCTCATGAATATGTCTATTAGTTTGTATAATCAATTCAAGATACTGAAATTTATTACACTTGGATATCATTGGATCTTCTTGTAATATTGATTGATAATTTATCATTTTTGCATCCATTACTATTAGATATCTTGTACCTATTATGCTAATCATAAGTTTATTGTTCTAATTTAGATATTTTTTCACCTAGTAATACTATGTCATCTACAAATGGCATACACCGATTTCCTTCACCAAAAAATCAATTTCTTTATAGATTTTGCAGGCATTATCACATCATCATTAGCATTTATCTCAATTCTTTGTGGTTGGCATTATGAATCATCATCTCTTTAGTGACATGCATAAATCATATTGATTCTTTGATATTGACATGGTTTTTGGAAGCATATGCTTCAATACCTTCTTTTATATATGGGTATTACAAATTCATCAACTCTTTTGAGAGGAGTTCTTAGTACCCCTGAGTGATATTGATTATGCTATTCAAAATAATAAAATATCATCACCAGCCTTGTTTAGGGCAAATTATTGCATCCGGTCACCGGATGCGCAGAATAGGTTTGGACATCCAATAAAAACATGCCACGTCATATGCGCTTTTGACTGCGCTTTAGGTGCGCTTTACCTGCGCTTCTGATTGCGCTTTGACTGCGCTTTAACTGTGCTTTACCTGCGCTTTTGACGCGCTTAATTTAAAATAATATTTTATTAATATCCGGACCTATCTCCGCGTCCGGTGACCGGATGCAATAATTTGCCCTTGTTTAGACATGTCTTTACCGGATCTGAATTCACAATCACCTACCATCTTTAGATTAATTATCTCATAAGAATTACTTATTAAAAGAATTCTTTCATAAAAAATAATTTTTTTGTGGTAACCTATATTATTTCTCTTGATTGCTTTAGATTTCTTTACTTGAATTTAAATTCCTGTTTATAAATGGAAATTTCTAGTAAGAGAATTTCAATATATGAATACTTAAGTATTGCAAGCAAGCTGGCTCCAATCCCTCCCCATTAGGTGGTTGCTAATTCTCCTTTCTCTCTCTTCATTCATTCCTTTTCCTTCCTCTCTATCAGCCCCTCGAGTTCATTTGGTTTACTCATCTTATTCTTTCTGACTTTAGAAGACTTTTCTAGTTCAAGCCTCGTTTCTCTTTTATCACTTTAGAAAATTAAAGGCAAGTCATCCACATTTCCACAGATCCATTACAAACTTTTTCACATCAAAAGGAGTCTTCTTACTTTTATATGCTCCATATGGAGTCCCCATTATCATTCTTATTAATTAAAGGCATATCCAAAGCACGAGGGTCTCACCGAAGGCAGGGTTTGGGGGACTGTTTTATGCAATGCAACCTTAGCTGTGCATTATAGAAAATCAGTTGCATGATTCTCATCTCTTCTTATTATCATCATCACTATGATGGCGCTAATTTTTCTTTCTGAATAAATTGTCCACAAGGAAATTTGCATCATTCCTGGGAATGCTTCTTGGTTTTTTAATTATGTATTAACAGCATTGAAGCTTGAATTTTCTGTCTTTTCCTATCATGAAGAAGATTGTTTGGCTGTTTACATGAACATCTCTGCTTTTTTTCCTTCAGTTTTTCATTCCACTTATATAGTTTAATCTGCATTTTCTCTAAGTTACTTGTCTTTCATTCTTGAAGGATGAAGTGGTTTCTTTTCCACTCTATGTAGAAGCTGTGAAGTTTGCTTTTCATGATGAAAGCATGGTTCGTATTGCAGTGCGTGCTTTGACACTAAATGTCTATCATGGTAAGTTGGTAAGGTCTGGGTTCCTAATCCAATGGCAGTCCGAGCTTTTCTGTTAAACTAGCGCACATTTCATTTTATTAATTTTCTATCCCTGTTTCAGTTGGAGATGAATTCGTGAACAAATATGTTTCGAGCATTCCCTTGTCTGATTACTTTTCGGATTTGGTTAAATACTTCCAGAAGCAGTGCATCAGTTTGGAGGACAGGGTCTCTAAAACTATTATGTAAGAAATGAAATTTTGGAAAGCAGCTATCAGCATAGTTCTTTTACTTGAAGAATGAAAGTAATATATGCCCATTTGTGACATTTTATGTATTGCTTATCTAAAGAAGTCATAACCATGAGCTTGTTCCAATTCATTGGTGCTTGCTTAATGAGTTTTTGTTCTCCAATCATTCTTTTGAGTGTTGCATGAGGTGTTTATTTTATCTGAGAACTTCTTTTCTTTCTATGCATATTAGCTTTGATGTGCCCCTTTTCAGACAACTTGTATCTCATAAAAAGATAGTCAGCATAATGTGCTTTGAGGAACCTTTATTTCTGCTGTAGTGAATTGTTGTTTTATGTCTCAATTTGCATATTCTCCTTTTATGTTATCTCTAATTTGCCTACTCACTTATGCATACTACTGTCAATAACAATTCTTATTCCTTCGTGGATTTCCATTTCCAGACCTCCGTTTTTCATTGCATCAAGTGAACATGTTTGCAGGCTGGCAAAAAAGCCCCTTTTCCTCAAAATTTTTGTTTGATTTTTCACCTTTAAAGCTAACCAACAATGCTAAGTTATGCGGTATCTTCTTTTATTTATGTTGTCGCCTTTCTTGCTTCCTATATATGTGCAACCGGTCATTTTCTCAGCAACTTTTTATTGTTCTACCATTGGTAAGCTAATTTATAGCCTTCAACCACGTCATACTGCTTTGGTAAGCTGCTGAAAAGCTTCAAATGCCTTAGCCTTCAATATTGACACCGTCCATATGAATGAATATTGAACTAAGTTTTTAGACCCTTGGGTATCTGCTTTATTTATCCTGCATAATACTTGCATCAATAGCTTAATAAATGGGCGACCTATTCTTTTTCATCTTTTTTTCCTTTTCTGAATATGAGGACTATAAATCCCATGTGCTCGAGGTTTCTGTCTTACATGGTGGTTAGTCAGGCCACAACAATCTTGGTGGTAGGTTTCATCATGTCAAATGGAGTAGGCTGGCACAATTTTCTTTGTTTCCAAATCTACCAAGGTTTGGAGTCAACTGAAAATCAAAAGTGGAGACCAAAATCATATTGACTAAAAGTGAAACTGAACAGTTTGGTTCTGTACCTTTTTAGTTTAGAATTAGAATCTATAACTTTTGGGCTGGTTTGCATTGGTTTCGCCAGGCATCTTTGATTTGACATAAAATAGTAGAAAATGGACTTATAAGCTAGAAATTTAAGATTATTCATTTTTTTATAACACGAGCAATACATCATTCATAGTATAATTTGGGAGAAAATGATCATGATGGTCCCTTGACTCTTTATGAAGGACCAAAATGGTCTTCAATTATATTAAAGGATTATTTTGGTCCTTCAATTCCTTAAAAATGAACTAAAATAGTTTCATAATGGGTCTATTTTGATTCTTTTTTAAAGACTTGAGGGACCAAAATGATCCTTTAATATAGTTGGGATCATTTTGGTCTTTCACAAAAAGTCAAAGGACTATTTTGATCTTTTTCTCTATAATTTGATTTGGCTTGTTTTCTCTTTTTAATAGGCTTGCCAAAAATTCTAATCTAAATCAGAGCAAGCAAATCAGTTTATCCAAACAACTCAGAACCCAAATGAATTTAACCTCGGAAACTATCATTTTTTCCGGTTTAAGTTATTGTCTTTGCCACCCTTTAAACAGAGTCCAAGTATAGCAGAGGGTCTAATGTGCATGCATGAGAGGTGCACATGATCTCCACTCTAACGTGTATCATCTGTTCTTGGTGCAGTAACCCTGATTCACAAGATTCAATTTCTAGCATACTTGCTGCAGTTGATGAAATAGAAGACAATTTTTATTACTTTAGTGATGTTATATCTGCTGGGATTCCAGATCTTGGGAGATTAATAACTGATAACATCTTGCAGCTTTTAGTATTTCCGTTGCTTCTACCCTCTTTGAGAAAGCAAAAGGCTGTAAGTGTTTATTGTTATCCTTAATAGAGATGTCTGATGCTTTGCTATTCTAAATGTTTTGCTTTTCCTTCTTTCTTTCTGTAAATATTTTTTTCCTTCTTATGATGACAGGGTACAGAAATAGGCATCACCACCTCATTATATTTACTTTGCTGTGTGTTGCGGGTTGTAAAAACCAAGGAGTTAGCTAGTAGCGTTGCTGCTGCTTTATTCTTTCCTCCAGAAGTTTTCATTCCGAAATTAGAAGCCACAACTAATGGCAGTGTCCGGGATTACCAACTTTCTTCGGAACTTGAGAAGGAAGAGGAAGAACCTTTTTCTCCGTGTCATTCATATTCAGAAAATAAAAAGCCGCAAGGCTCTTGTTCATGGTTCTCGGATTTACAAAAAAATAGCAATGGTCTTCTTGTTACCTTGAGGTTGTTTTACATCAATTCTCTTATAATTCAATGTACTTTACTCATGGAACATGCATGCAAAATTGATATTTAGGTCACGCTGAGTGAGAAACTATTTGCTTTACGGAAACATCCAGTCACCTGACTGATAACTCTGCATGAATTCCTATTATAATTGTCATTTAACTGGAGAGATCACAGGCGACATTTTTTCATCTAAACTTTTATTCAGGAGGTAGTAGGGTTTTTTAATGATCATTTATTTCAGGGGAATGTTACTGTCTTATGTTGTTAGCGGAAATGATGTTCAAGCTCTTGGCTCTTTGTGCTTTTTAGCTACTTTATTGCAAACTAAAGGTGATAATTGATCTATTTCATTAACTAGTGTTTTGTGAGTTTTTTTTCCATATTTTTATTGAATTCTGTGCTCTATTTTGTAGAATTAGATGAGTCAATGCTAGATGGACTTGGAATTCTTCCTCAGAGGAAGCAGCATAAGAAGCTTTTACTAGTAAGGATAAAAAATTGTTGAGCTGTTGTTGTTTTGGCAGTGATTTTTTAGCTTACTAGCGTCTTATATGCCTTGTGTTTTACTAGAATGACTCCGTACTAAAATAAATTTATTCTATCATCTAAAGTCATTTTTCATCCCTCTTTTATATCCCTCTGTCATGTTTTATACACTCTATCTCCTCCTCCTATAAATGATTTTTCGTGCGGGCATCTGACATTTTCCTATATCCCTCAAAGAGTTTAAACTATTAGTTGCATAAATGAGCTTTCCTTATGTATGGCTATGCAAGATTTAAGGACTATATTGAAAGGAAGATGTGTAAGCCAATCATTTCCACTTGCCACATGGACTAGTTGAATGATACGAATTCTTGTTGCATTTTCTTATTTAATATGGCTTGTCAAAATAGGAAAATAACAGGTGTAATGATGATTAGATCTAGGGATGCAAACGAACCGAGTGCTCGACAAGCTGCTCGGGGCTCGACTTGATAAGAGCTTGTTTATGTTCATTTGATAAGCTAAACGAACGAGTTCAAATACTTTTGATAAGTACTCAATATCTTAATAAACAAGCTTGAACATTGTGTCGTTCGGCTCGTTTATGTTTATGAACAAGCTTGTTAAGAAGCTCGATTACGGCTCATATTAAGCTCGAATTGTCTTAAAATAAATAAAGTGTTAAAATAAATATTATTAAATTATTTTAACTAATTTAATAATTTAATTCTCAGTGAGACTTAAAATGAAAATCACTAAATTGTTTCAAATATCGACACTATGGCACGATATATACACATGAAGCATTTGTTTTCAGAAACATCCTTAGAAAAAAGATCCTAAAATCCTAACATGCCATCCTCCTTTCAGGCTCTCCATCCACCGCTTCAAAATTTCTGAGGGTGGCAAAGAATTTGGTAAAAAATCTAAATAAATTATTTTAAATAATTATTTAAATTATTCACCTCCGCTCTCGCAGTTCTGCTCATTATTCGCGATTGTTTTTCCACTTTTGCTATCCGCTCTTCGTTCCCGCAGTCCCGCTCTTATTCACAATTTTACTCCCAAACCGTGTGGGAGAATTAGATTTTTCCCCATACGAAGAAAAAATGGGGAGATCGATTGTGAACCGTGGAAGTGGGAAGATGTAGAGTGTGGACGAGATTCGTCTTGTTGCTGGCGATTTAAGGTCTTTTGTTTTGTTTAAACTAGCCTGTTAACGAGGTGTTTAAATGAGCAGTTAATACAAATGATCTGGTTTGAATGAAACGAGCCGGTTAAAGAGCTGCTCGTTAACCGGCTTGATAACGCCTAAATTATGAAGATTGAATGTTAACATGAACTGAGCTCAAACATACACCAAAAAAGCTCGTTTTTTATCTAGTCGAGCTCGAAAAAGGCCTTTGCAAGCGAGCTTGAGCTCGAGCATGCTCAAGTTCAGCTCGACTTGGTTCGTTTGCAGCCCTTTTAGATCATATATAATTATAATTGCATTGAGCTGATGATATTTTTTTGTCCGTCAAGTTGTGCTATGTTTTCTAGTAGAATCATTCTTGGAATTTAGAAAATGCTAGTGCCATTGTTTCATCACTTACAAAATGATTTCTAAAGTATAATTGGCTTGTATTACTGATTCAATGTAATACTATTCCCAAATATTAATTTTGCTTTCCTAGTAATGAACCAATTTCATGAGATAGCATTGCATTAGCTTATTTTATTCTCCAATGCTTTAGTGAATCAATTTTAATTTTACTCTTGTTGACGAGTTCTTATCCTGTTCCGATGCATGCAATAATTTGCTTTTGCTGCTGACCATTATGAAATTTTTAAGCAAAAGGATTTTTGTTGTCAAGCAGCAAGCTTTGGTTGGTGAGGAATCAGGTGAAGAGCAGCTATTTTCTCCAAGAAATAATAGGGGCAGCGATAAAATAGATACTGAGCTTGATATTTATTTAAAAAAAATTAAGGTATGTCTTATATCTTTTTGTCATTTGTCAATAAGCAGAGACGTATGCTTTTTCTCTTTTTTGTTGTCAACTTTGAAATTTTCTCTTTTGCAAATCATTATTCTTAGTTGTTGCATAGAGTGGCTGTTTCTCTCCTAAAATAATGATTATCATTTTTTTTGGTTTCCTAGTTGGTTCTTGGACATATTTGGAATTGCATGATTTTCCGGGAACCATATCTTTCCTGATGGACTTGTGTATACTATGTCAAGGCTGACAACACAACTTGAAGTATTAACTACTAAATGAAATGTAGTAAATCAAATTAACAGGGAATAAGAAAAGCATCATATTTGTCAATTAACAAGCATAGAGATAATCAATTAAATGTTCCAGGTATCAATGCTTACTTCTAATAGAAAATAATACTCCAGGAATTCTCCTGCAATGATAGCCAGCAAAGAAATTGGAGAACAAATAATGTCCACCCAAAAGATGCTCTTGAAGTGATAACGATTGTTCTAGAAGCTGTTTTTGGTTTGTGCTTTAGGGTTAAAGTAGCAAGGAAACATGTCACATGTTAGGGATGCCACCGAACTGAATCATATATAAAACACCAACTTGATATACAATTCAGGAATAAAGTCTAGAAAGGCTGGGTTTGTGGAGAACTCCTCAACCATGAGGATAAGCATCAAATCTGGAATCCAGCAGCCTTCACTTATAGGATACAACTTTTAGGAAGCTGGACAAAGATTATGTTCTTGGAAGCTATTTTTGCTTCTCACTGTACGGACAAAATAGCTAGGAAAGGTCACCATGTTAGGGGCTACAAAGAATTGGATGATAGATACAGCACCAACTAGATATTTCACCATTGGAAGAAGTAGAGAAAGGCTTGATTTGTGCGTAACTCTTTGACCTGATGATCAGCATTATATTTGGAATTCAGTAGCTTTTCACTTATAGGAAACAAAATTTTTAGAAGAATAAAGAACAAAATTTTAGGAAACGTATTTTTGAGAATAAAAATGGGAAGGATGCTGGATGGTGGCCCTCATGAATGGATTGTTTATTTTTTTCTTTTCTACTCTCTAGTGTTGGCTTCCATGGCTTACATAAGACTCTTTTATTTGAGAGCATCTTACCACTGATAATAACAATCTCTAAATGTACAATCTTGGATTTAGAATCTATTTGGTAATGCTTTTTTGATTCACTCTTCTACTTGAACAACATAAGCAATTTTATGGTGCTTGTTTTAACATCTGTGAGAAAAAAAATTAGGTATGAAAGCTGAAAAGCAACTTTTTTGGAATGGAATTTAGACGGCTTCCCAAAAAAGTGCTTTCATAAATTTTTTCTATTTATTTATTAAATTAATTCATTATTTTGATTAATTATATGTTATTTAAGATTAATTTATCATGTTATAATAATATATATTTAAATGAATATTTATTTAAATTATTTAATCACTTGTATCAGCATCAAAATAATTTTTAGCCAAACAGTTACAACACTTAAAAAAATTTCTGCTAAACTCTACAACACTATGACAAGAGTGCACTAAGACAGAGTAAACAAAATAATAAATACCCCGTGTACAATATAGCTTTAATTCTTGGCCTTGTGCAAATCTAATGATTGGTATTTGATGAGGTTCCTTTGACTCACAGAGGAGGAATCTCTATTAAATTTTGAATATGTGGCGAAAGCTAAATATTTAGCAAGGTGTAATCAAGCTTTAAGGTTTTGAAATCATAAATCCTATTTATGTTCAAATTAAATCTAGCATATCAAAGCTAATAAATGCTTGCATGCATCAACCCCACATCCATGAATATAATAACTGGGTTTTTGACTAGTAGATCTCTGCTTTGCACTAGCAAATATCTTCTTGTTAATAACAGAGCTCAGCTTTATCATTCGAAATTCCAGTATTACTGCATCTTCCATGGTAATGAACAAGATATCACTTTGTGATAAATATCAGCAAGGCAACAACAATGAACGCAGGAGGGCTAGATATGTTCTTTCATTCATCTTTTTGTTAACTTTTAATTTTGTTTGTTGTATGCTTCACATGAAAATTGCATAACAACAACAACAACATCAAGCCTTTGTCCCACTATGTGGGGTTGGCTACATGAATACTTTTTCGTCATTGTGTCCGGTTAAAAGTCAAATTCTCATTTAAATCTAATAAAGAAAGATCATTTATAATATTTTCTAACCAAGTCTTTTTAGGTCTACCTCTACCTTTCTTAACATAAGTCAAATCAATACCTCAACTTTCCTAACCGGGTCATCGGAAGGCTTCCGTTTAATGTGACCAAACCATCTAAGGCGACTCTCTCTAATCTTATCTTCCACTGAAAATTGCTTAACGTTATCCAATATTCTTCCTTGAAAATTTACTCCTTGCACTGTTGATGTGTGGATTCCTTATTTGAGCTGTCTATCTCTATATCTGGCAAACATCTCTTACGTTCCATTTTTTGCAATATTGCGCTAATGCAAATATGATTTTTCAATTTTTATATTGATCTATCATTGTCATCATCCTTTGCCTTATCCCAACCATTGTGGTCAGCTCTATGAATCGATCATATAATGCTAGGATATTTGGTTTTTCCAGTTCATAGATCGAAAGAGTTGTTTCTTGGTTGCTTGATGCGAGTTTCTACTTTCCAGCAATAATATCTTTCAAGCTATTGTTGATTTGGTAACTTTGCATACTTTATGCATGAGCTGTGCTTATACTGATCATTATTTGTTGAATATTCTGATGCTCTCGATTTATTCAATCTTTATGGAGGCTTGTAAATTTTTTTTCTCCTTTTTTCCTCCTTAATTATGCCAATCTTCACACTAGAATAGCCAATCATGTTTATCAATTACACTTGTTGACTACTTTTAGTCTTTTAGATTGTTGATTAATGGGAGCTTTATCAATAATCTATCAATTGTTGATTGATGACATATCACTTGAAGCAATTCTATTTTGGCTCTTTGTAGTTCTTTTTGAGACAGAAAAAATTGTATATGCCATTTTAATTTTGTTGTGTTTTATTCTGAACTATATGTCGGATAGAAGTTCTGCTTTATAGTCAAATTGAACGGCACTTTTTTTGTGTACATGCATGCAGGATCAGTATGCACTATCCTATACCATGGAAGAGCCTTTAACAAGTCTCCAGAAACATAGAGATGAGGTTAGCTATCACCATTTTATTTGATATTGATGTCTTAGTGTTCTATTCATCTTAGTTAATTCAATGATAATTTTCTCATGAAATTTTTGTGATTACTTTTGTTTATTTATTATTATGAAATATGAGGAGCGTAAATCTAAGGGGGGGCCAAAGTTGGGTTTGATATAATTGTAGATATACTTGTTTTCATCCCCATGTTTAAGCTTATAGGTGAGAGGTTGCCATTTGGTAGTTCTTTTAAACATATTTTGCATGTCAGATGTGGGATTAAACCCAACATTTTCACGTGCCTTAATAACCTTCCACTCATATACGAGCTCTTCATATCAACTATCACTTCCCTTAAATAAAAATATTTTTAACATCATAAATATTATGCGCTAAGAGCTCACTCAATCAATTTAAAGTGTCATGAGTGGCCGCAAGTGATAGGGATGAGCACCACAAACCACATGAAAACCTTGATCCTAGCCAAATCAATAGCGTCCATGAGACTTTCTAGGTAGTTGAATCAAAGGGGATTAAATTTGAGTCTAATACACTAGTGGATGGGTGAGGGCCACCCACTTATTATTCATAAATCAACACAATTTTTTCATGTGTTCAACATTGGACTAACCTTAGGCTTCGTTTGTGACAGCTTTCTTATTGCTTTTTAAAGTAGTTTTTTAGTATAAAAATTTATAGTTCAAGAAAATTTTGTATAAAAAAGTTGCTTTAGAAAACAGTAATAAAGTTGTCCCAAATGAAACCGTAATAATCTCATGCGCCTTTACATAAAATAGTATTTCAAAAAGTTGAAAGGAAGCTCTAAAAAAACAATAACAATATCAGTTATGTTGGATAAACTTGAGTATTAAGTTGTTCGAATAAAATAAAATAAAAAAACTAAACTAATAATAAAAAGATATAAAAGATACACCCACGTCGGCAAAATTGAATTACGTTGCCTCTACATCGTTGAAATAACCGATGCCTCAATTTGTATAGAAACAACAAAGAAAGAAACGAACAAGTTACGCTCACTTACGCAGTTCAGTTGAAGTCCTTGTTTGTTTTTAGGCCCTCGCCAATAATTCTGCAGTTCTCCACCTCCCATTGTCACATGCGAGTTGAGTTCGACCTACACAACACAAGGACCCATGACATCTCTCGTCACTCCGCCTCTCCATGTGCAGACGAGCCCATGCGAGACCCCCAGCCTCTGCATGTTTCACGCACCGGTGAATTTTGACCCAGTTGCGACCTATCGCTCATTACGTGGCCTCTCCCACACTCGAGCTCCGGTTAGTTCTACACAAGGAAGCCGTCGATCCCGCCTGCCATGTTCACATCTCTGCCGAAACCTTCTCTTCGTTTGACCCCACACGCTCGACAAATCAATCATGTTGCCGGTTTGCTTCTTTGTGTGTCCAACTTCCCACATGATCCACGAACTAGACCCCACTTTGCCTCCTGTGCTTGTATTTCTTAAAAAAAAACACCCTATGCTCGCCTCTCACAAGCAATCAAACACGCCAAACCTATTCAGACCTGCGGTGACTTTCGATCCACACACGATCCACATCCCTCTATACTATAACAAGGCAACAGGCAGCCCGATTTGAGCTTCTTCTGGTCCATTACACAAGCCCGATCGTCCAATGCTTCTTGACTTGAAACAGTGAGGAAGAGAGGGATTTTTATTTCATATATATATATATATATATATATGATTATTATTATAAAAAAGTAATAATAATAATAAAACATACCAGGAGATCGTGTTTTGTAGCATGTTTGTGCTGCTCTAAATCCAAACATTCCCTTCTTCAAATGAAAATCCTCAAGTTGATCATTTACTTTAAGGTAGTTTTCTTCAGAAATGAGTTTGTCCATACATGCATACAAACCAGTTTTCACCTCTTTGTCAACATGAAAATCCTTATCATAATGAAATTGGGGATTTAAATAGTACGCAGCAGCATGTAAGTGTTGGTGTAATTGTCGATCCCACTTTTCATCTATAATATCCCATATTTCTCTGTAGGCACTTTCTTGACCTCCCAATTCTTTTGCAAAGTCTTCTTTAGCCCTATTCATTGCTTCATAAATAAATCTCATAGCCGGGGCCCTCTCACCATCAACTATTCTAAGCACCTTTACAAATGATCATGTTGTCTTCAAAGCATAATTTATACTGCGCCAAAATGAATCGTCTTTCATAACAATCTTTTTAACTTGTTTTCCTTCTTATTTTTTGGCCCATGAACTTTTATGCCACTCTTCAGAAGTAAACATTGCTTCTAAAGGTTGTCTTAACTCTTTGAATCTCTGCAATGTTAAATATGCAGTAGCAAATCTTGTAACAGCAGGCCTAATAATTTCCTTGTCAGTGAATTTTCTCATCAAGCTGAGTACCCAAGAATGATTGTATATAAACTTACTAACGAATTTGGCCTTTAATATGACTGATTTATGTTGAGGCAACTATCCCAACCTCTCAAGCATCAAGTCAATACAATGTGCTGCACAAGGAGTCCAGTAAAGGCGAGGCCTCTTCTCCATTAACATTCTTCCTGCAGCTTTGTATGCACTTGCATTATCAGTAACAACTTGTACTACTAAGGCGTCTCCCACTTCCTCCATAACTTCATCCAACATTTCAAATAATAATTGTGCAACCTTTACAAAGCTTGAAGCATCTACTGATTTGAGAAAAACTATTTCATATGGATTATTGACCAAGAAATTAATAATACTTCTATGTCGAATATCTGACCAACTATCTGACATTATTGTCACTCCTATCTCAATCCAAGTCTTCTTAACATCATCCACCATTTTTGAAGTTGTCTTAACCTCCTCATTCAACATCCAAGTCCTCAGCTCATACATGCTTGGAAGTTGTAATCCTCTTCCATAGCTTCCAACAGATCGTAACATATTGATCCACGACGGACTCCTAACAACATTAAATGGAATCCCATTTTCATAAATGAATCTGACGATTTCCAAACAAACTCTATTCCTGAGCTCTTTTGTAGCTGTACGAGGCTGAATATCCTGAGTATTTATGTTTTCATCGTTATCAATATTTAGCATAAATCTATCCATGGGCCCCCGACTTCCTCGATCAGAAGAAACTAATGGCTTCCAGTACTTGAACCTTCATGCTGTGATCCATAGTAAGAAGAGTTTCCTATCATCTCTTCCATATTTCTTTATATGACCTCCTTTGTGGTGGCAAACTTCTTTAAATAATTTGTACATTCCTTCTTCACCTCACCAGGAACTTTTGCACATGGTCCCACATTGACATGAGTGCAGGCTAGATGATCCTTTAATCTCTTGACGCCACCAGTTATGCGTTTCTCACAGAAATTACATTTCATGTAAACACCCCCCCCCACACACACACACACACCAAGTAGCCGAAGAGAGGAAATCAGTGATCCTCATTAAAAATGTCTAACTTGAAGACTGGTTGGAGAGTGATGATATATTTTGTTACTTTTTTTCCTCTTCTGTCATGTAGAATATGAAACCATTTGTTCACTAGCTCTTTGGTGCTAGAAATGCTAACATTAGAGCCAAAAAATAGAGTTTTAATCACTAACATCCCCAATAGTATGATGATGATTAGGAGAAAACTAGATCGCTAATATTGTAAGTAGGTGCCTATACAATTCTCAACCATTGGGTAATCATGGAAGCCAGTAATTATAATGTAGAATTTATAGCTGATTTAAGGTTTTCGATAAATCAGATTAGAATTAGAATAAGTCATAATTCCCTCAATTGCATTCAAAGAAAGTTTTTTATTAGATGTATGTTCCCTATTGCCACTATTGTCATGAGATTTTCACCGCTTTGGGTGAGCCTTGAAGCAGCTTGAGAAGTTGTGATAAAAAAATTTGTCTGAATAATTAGGTTGAATACTTTCAAACTCTACCTACTAGCTATGGAGCCCCTCCAAGTTCTTTCCCAAAGGGTTAGTAACATCCATTTTGGCCAAACCCCTAGCCATTGATGGGTTTTAAAAGGCGAAATCGGGAATCGAGGCGTTTTTTCTAAGCGAGGCGAGGCGTAAGCCTCGAGGCGGATCGAGGCGTAAGCCTCAAAACGATTAAAATAAATTAATTTAAAATTATAAATAATAAAAAAATAACAGAATATTATGTCAACTATTAATTTGAAGATTTGTTAAGATAATATTAGTGGAATACAAGATTTAAAATAAA